CTGCCCTTCCCCAACCCCCAAAATACTGTAAAACTGTATTTATATGGAGCCCTGATCTTCATGGAAGACAATGATGAGATTAAAACATAGGTGAACACTTAAGGAAAAAAAAATCTGTCAAATCAATCCATTTTCCTCTTTTGTCAGACTATGGTAACTGATTCACAGAAAAACAATAGACGGGATGTCTCTTTTACACACTGATTTTCTGGTATTGCTGTCCCAAATGTATTGGAAAAGAGCGATCCTGAAGCAATGACTCTAATGGGAATGTACAACACACAAAAGCTAGGGAATTTCAAATAGAACACTTCAGTATGAACTCTTAGAACTTTTCTTTTTTTTCTTTTTTTTTTTTTTTCCAAATACTATGTTGGACAATGAAGTACAGGATATATTTACACCTATTGTGGGTGACACCAAAACACAAGGGTTTCACAGCACACACTTTCAAAGACAAAGCTGTGATTCAAAGTCATCTTGATAAATTGGAGAATTGGCTTGGTGTCAAGAAGACTAAAATCAATACGTGCAGCCAAAAAGAGAAGTTGTGAAGTTCAGAAAACGTTGTAAGAGTTATAATGGATCACAGTTTAAGTTATGAGCAAGGAGTGCATTGTTGCAGCAAGAAAAGACTGCTCTTATTTTGGGCTTTTGGATTATACTCAGTGGCCAGTAAATAATAGAGAAATAAATTGTCTTGACTTCTGAATTCTGGTTGTTCAGAAATTGTAGCAGATTATATACTAATGTCCTGGTAAACTCTTTAACCAGCAGTTTTAAGAACAGTTTAAGTATGTTAGGGATGTTTTAAGTATTCTTGATTCTTCCTTCATGCAGGGAGTTTGACTAAGTGCTCTCTGGAGATCCCTTCTAGTCTTATGTTTCTGTGATTTTAATTTACAGGGAGCTCTCTGAAAAGATCTGGGTCATTCCATTCATTTTTATACATGAGATGAAAATCTTGCATATACATGAATAATTCCATAAGCTAGGATATAAAATATTTTAAAAAACAGTCTTTAGTGCTGGGTAAGTTTTCATCCTATTTGCTTAACAGAACTTGTTGTCAGATCTCTCTTTTTTCAAGAAAATGCTTCAAGAAAATTGATTTATGAATCTGAGGTTTTTATTCTATGTTCTCTAGATCATATTTGGTTCAAATAACAAAGTAAAATAATGATGACTCTACCTTCACAACTATCAGGAAAAGAAAATTCTATTTCCTCATTATGCCTGGTGCACTTCAGAGCGGAATTATCCTGAGTCCTTACAGGATGTTAACTTGAGCTGGTTTTTTGAGGTTTCCTGTGGATGGAAAACTTGAAGAAGTTATGAAAGTTGCTTAAAATTCTCCACTTTCTTGTCTTGTCATCAACACGAGTAGGACTCTTAGACTTACTGTCTTCTAAAAAAGTACTGACACTAGAGTTTCTACTGTTTGTACAAAACAGTAGTTTCACAAAGACATTAAATTTAGTCTCTACACACAGATGAGAAATCACATATGTAGCTTACAGTTGTCCATTTTGAGATAGCTTTCTTGGAAACTGCACACACAAATGAATCTGAGCACTGGCCCATGCATTTTTTCTGAACTACAGGAAGGGGCGTATTGTTTGACAGTTGCATCCAGTCTTTCTGCCAATAATGAAAATAAGAAATGGTGGGATTTCACAAAAGGAAAGACAGTTTATGCATAATAGAGTCCGGGATACCGAGGAAAACACTGCTTGCTTTTAGAGGTATGTAAGTCAGAGGAAGAAAATCAGAAAGTGAAAGCCACCCAGTGGAACAGTTAAATCTGTGTGTATCTCTAGAGTTCATTTTAGAAATTACTAGTTGAGCTGATTAAAACATGTAAAAAGCAGCCACTACTGGGGTTTTTCAAGTCTGTGAGCTTATTAAAACCAGGGAGCATGTGAAACAATGATATTGTCCCTTAACTAACAGTTTATCTTGCATGAAGGAAAATACTATTATATCAGTCTTGATGAAACCTAATTGCTATTTGACTGTGATCACATTAACTGCTTTGTGCTTCAAAAGTTACACTTTAAAGGTGAATTCCTGGGTGCATTAATAAGCTTGGTTGGTATCAGAGTCTTGTTGAGGAGGAGTATTTTGTGAGTTGTGTTGATCAAACATCATTTTGATCACTTACATGTGGTATTAGACTTGATTAAATTCTACAGAAGTCATCTTCCTGACAACAGCATTTTTTTTCTGTTCACACACTCACAAAAGGAAATCCCTGGATCCCAACTGTGCCTGTAATGAAGGTGAATTGTGTTTAATGACTTAAAGAGTGCCATTTTGTGCTTAACAGTTTACGTATTGCAAATTACCCTGTAAATACTCTGTTTCTAGATCAAATTAATTGTATAACAAGTTGTGCTGGGAGGCACAATTTTCTTTGCTATTCTAGCTCCTAGAGTCTGGCAGCTTTACATGGTTTTCTTACACTACTACCACATGAGAATTTAAACACAGATATGGTATTCACAGTGGGTGTTGCCACTTGAAGTTTAAAACAATACACTGTTATGACATTTAGTGGACTTTCATTTTCTTGCCTTTGTTAACAAATTAAGGCACTGGAAATTGTATGACTTCTCCTTTTATTCGTTAACTTATTAAACATGAGTAGCCAAGTTAAGCTCATTTTTAATTACAGTGGGTTTATATGGAGTTATCCCTGATTATACTTTGCCTAAATGCAGTTTACTCTTCAAGGGCTAAATCAAAAATATGTCAACTGGATCAGTGTCCAGTATCAGTTGACTTTGAGAAGAATATTTAGACTCAGGAACAAAGACAACCAATAAATGTGAAAGGAAACAGCAGGGAAGGGGAAATGAGTATCAAGAGAGAAGTTTTGCTTCCTGAAACCTTGTCCCACATTCCATCTATCCTTCTCCTTTAATAATTTTCTTGTGCATTATAGTTGATCTAATGATTCAGGTAATTCATTTAAAAAAAAATATATCATAATCAAGATGACTATCAGGTAAGTATACAAGAAGAAAAGACAAAGCATCTTTTGATTCTGAAGCATAGCAAAAGCTAGTTTATTTACTTTGAAAATGTACGACCCTAACAATAGAAAGTATTTCCTCTTTTTTTTTTTTTTTTCCCATTACCCAAAGAACATTTTCCTGAAAGCTGTTACTGTCCATCTGTCTGAAAAGAACAAGGACTGAAGGCAGGGATGAAAACATTGTTGTGGTACTTAACTGATCTTCAAGGAAAAGCTCCAGGCTGCTGATTTTGGATCAATATAAAACCACCTAGCTCAGTGGTGACTAAAGCCAGTTATAATGTTCAGCAACAGGGAAGTGAGCCAGATTGATAAAGGACATGAAAATATTTCATTTGGAAAATATCCCCAGAAACCTCTGCAATCTCCTACCTTACTATCAATTCTGTGTTCAGCTGGTGTTCTGATTTCCACTGGGCTCTTTCTGGCAGCCTCCCATTTATCAAGGACTGTGTCAAACACAAGTCTTAAAGAGGCTGGCTGAACTGCAGCAACCTAGTCTGCAGGTATATAATGCAGTGTTGACCTGAGCTCCTGATCCAATGAGACTGGAGCTTCCAATAACATCTACACTGAAAGAACTTGGAATAGAAACACTGTGATTGATTTATTGGCAACAGTCTCATATCAGAAACTGGCTTTAAGAGGAGAATAAATGAACTACAAGCTCAGGTACATTTAACTGAGGTAGCAATGATCAAACTAAGACAGCTAGAAAAGGAAGCTTTATTTGAGCACCTTAGGTGTGAACCTGGTAAATGACCTAGGAGATTTCTGAAAATAAATGATCTTGCAGAACGTACACGAAGTCACATCAATTTAGCTTGATTATGCAATATTTTATTATATTTCAGTTGTGGAAATTTTTAATACCAATTTAAACATTCCTTACAGTGGTCTGAAAAAAAAAAAGCTGAGATGTAAATAAAAAAGAACACTGCATTGTCTGCTACAGAAGTAATTAAAAATACTTGAAACTTCACATTCAGTGTGCAGATGGTCACATGGACTTAATGTGCTTACCACCTCCTGTTTAATCTATGTGAACAATGCCATGAAAGAGAAAGGAAGAATAAATATCAGTTTATCACAACAGTTCATCACAAACCAGACACCTAAATGTATGGGGCATTTTATGATTTTAGAGTACTTGTCACAATATTGTATCTGTAAAATCTGACTCCTTCCTTCTCATACCAGGTGCATATTTTAAAATTAAAATTCTCTTTTTCAGTAGGACACATGGATGCCAGTGTAATAATCAAGATAGTAAAGCCCAGCATGAAATTAACAACTCTGTCCTAGAGTTGTTAATAATAGAGCAGGGCTATACTGTAATGCTGAATGTAAGACATGGGCCATATACTGAGTAATATAGAGAAGAAAAGAAAATGAAAGAAGATTGTACAGTTTGTTGCTATCAAACATATAGTGAAATGGACAGGAGACCAGAAGTAAAAAAATGAATGTGATCTTGTAATTAAAGACTGTATCATATCATACATCCACAAGAGGGCCAAATAAAAAGTTGCATACTTTAACTTTAGCATTTTCATAACTTTAAAGCATTTGACTTTGCAAATTTGTTCATTTCTTTCTAATCCTTGCTTTCATATGTAATTTCATTTTTTCAGCCTATGTGCTTATTTCACATATTTCTATTTTTACCTAATATTGATCTCATTCCTTCTCAAAAAATAGATATCCTCACTGACTATAAAATGTATATTTATGTTGTGTAATTAAGAGTCACAAAAAGAATACAAACAAGAAAGGGTCATAATAGTGGGCTGAGCTGCAGCTGTATTAAGGTAAAATAGATTGGCTTAATTGCAAGAGCTTTGCATGATGAGGTTCTGGTGGGAGAATATCTTATTGCTTAGCCAGATGTCATGAGTTTACCCTGAATGGGAGAGGGGTGACATAGCTCATTTGCTCTTCAGAGCCTTGTAGTATTAAGCAAGGAGTTGGAAGCCTTTAGTCATTGCAACGTTGAAGGTATGGTTTAAACCTCAATAGTTTGCTTGTTTTTGTTTGTTTGTTTAAATGTGTGTGGATTTGTTTGCTGAACACAAATTACAAACTTTATTTTGTTCAAATACATAAATTTAACTGGAAATGAGCATTGTAGAAGTTGTTGGAAAGATAGAAATCATGTCATTTACAGACCTACTATTTTTTCATCAAATTGTTCATGTCATTTTTGTCTTATTTTGTCTTATTTCTAGTGGGATTGCTAATATATTTGCTTGTGAAATATTTTGGGGAATATTCTGCATTGTCGTATGTGTTTTGGTGGTTGTGTTCTGTGTTCTTGGATTTATTTTTTTTTCCCCAAGTATGAAAAAATCAAGCTGAGATAACAGGAGATTAGTAAAAGTCAGTTTCTTCATTCCAGTTTTAACTTGCTTTGCCTTAGGGTTGGTATGCTCTGCTGAACAGTTGTTGTTCCTTATCTTTAAGGGTATGCACTCAATTCAGAATAGATATGAACTGTTTCTGTGAGGGACAGAAGTCTTCTGTGTGGATTTTTATTGCATATACTCTTGTTTTCCATTGACATCCCTTAATGATATCAAGAGAAACAACATGTACTGTATTGGCAAAGGCTGTTTTTTTTAAAAAAAAAAACAAAAACAAAAACTATTGTCTATAGATTCATCTAGAATTGGATAAACTTTTTTTTTTTTTCTCTTGTACATGATTTGATTCTTCTGATGGTAATGATAGAAGCAGGAATATAAATAGGAGAAAGTATCAGTATACTGCTGAATCATGCTAATGCTCCTGTGGAGCATCCTGGGACTTGTCTTAAGGGTACACTTGTAGGAACAAGCACTGGGAGTAGTACAGCTGTCCAGATCTTGAGCCATGAGTACTGACAGTGCAAAAAGTCCTGAGCCTTATAGTACTGGGAGTGTGTTAGCATTTTTACATCTTCATCTGATCTCTAGACTAAGAATTGCTATTGATATAGCTCTTTTCTAGAGCTAGCAAAATAGTTCTAGTCCTAATTGTGCAGACTTGAGCTTGTAAGTTTTCATGGAAATTATCTGCTGCAAATCAGAGTATATATTAAACTGCACACATTACTTCAAACTGCTGTACATGTGATGCAAGATGTGTCCTTGTGCAAACTGTGATTTACAGAGTCTTTGTTACATACAAAAATAAAATAAATGTTGTCTGCCTATGAGGTTTCAGTTATGTTAGTGCCCCTTCTCTCTAAACTCATGAAGCTAGTATGTTCAGCAATTCATGTTCTTATGGGTTGAGAAGCTGGTGGAACATTAAATTTTTGTCTTCGAGCCCTCTATTGAGGTAGTAGAGCTCTATGCTTTCTGCACTATATGGACAGTTGTCTTAGTACCCTTTGCTTTCTGAATAAACTTTGTCATGTGGCTTAATAAACCCAACTCTGAATCAATACAAACTCTCATGATGTCTGATAGTATCTATCTGCACAGCTGGGTCAGTGAATGGTTAGCTGTAGGCTCTATGCCTTGAATGAGGAGGCCAAAAGACAATCCAAGCATCACTACCAACTGTGCTTAATGTGATGATAGACTATTGTTCTGCAAATGCACAGGTCTAAGATCATGTACAAATTCAAGAAAAAGCTGCAACTTAAGGTATTTCTCCCACAATACTTTACTGAATATAGCATTTCTAATTGACTAAAGGTCTCAAAAAGGAATTTAGTTGAACACTGCGGAGTGTATGTAAGAAATAACCTTTTCTACATGTACTGGTGAGGGAATATTCAAGCAGGGACTGATTACCCAAGTGGATTTAAAAGTGGGGGTTGGTTTGGTCAGCTACCTCTTACTCTGGGGGCAAAATACAGCTTGGTGAGGCTCACTTTGAGGAGATAACAGAGGTAGTTTTCTTAGTTGTTTTTTTTCTTTTTTAATTTTTTTTTTCCCCAGTCTTTCCCTGCACCAGAAATCTAGTGGCAGACAATTATTTTAGTCTCTGAATTTTTAAATTCTGAAGAGATTTATTTTTTACTGTTGCTACATACCTAGAGGAAGAAAGTCTTCAGGCTGAATGGGAGCTGAGGTCTGAGAAGCCAGACATCTGCAATTTGCTTCAGGTTTGAGAGTCTGATCACTCCCTGGGAACCTGATACTGGCTCATATGACTATCAAAATCTGGTCTGCTTCCAGCTGAGGGTCTGCAGCATGCCCTCTTGTTTCAGGGGAGGAGTGCAATATCAGCAATCCATCAAGGTCTTCTCTGAATTTAGTATTGTTAGCAGATGTGTATATTCTTTAAAAAAAGAATTCATTCCTTCTTAAGAGGAAAATGGGGTCAGCTGTGCTGTATCCTGTATGCAGTGTGTACAGTTCTACAATTCCGTAATCCAGGTATCCCCCTCTGTGCTGTAGTTATGTGTTGCCCTCTGCTCTTCACCCTCTATTATAACAAAACACTGTTTAATTCTTGCCCTCCTCCCTTGACCAAGGAAATAGGGATGCAGGGCTAGATGAGACTGTTATTCTTTTTTAGGAACCTGCAATTCTGGATGTTTGAGTTGAAGTTAACAATCAAAATCTGGAAGAGGTCAACTCTTTAATTTCCTCATACCTCTATTGTTCAGTAATAGTGAAGAATGGAAAATTGGCTGCATCCTCTGTGTGCCAGAACTGAGCTGCTGCTCCTGAGTAGTCCAGACTAACCCCAGGTGCAAATAAAATACTTGCCTCCAGACTGTTCTGTATCTGAACTGCCAGATCTTCTGATGGTGTCCTGGTCTCTCTGATAAGGAAAAGATTTGATTCCTTCTCTTCACCCCTGTCATGGTTTAACCTGGCAAACAGCTGAACATTACACAAATGTTTGTTCATTTACCCCATGTAGATGAGAGGGAAAATTGGAGACAAACTAGAACTCATGGGTTGAGACAAACTATTTACTAGGACAGAAAAGGAAAATGGAAATAAAATTGTGATAACTATGTACCCTGGCTGCTCCTAAAGTAATGCTTCTTATTTTGGCCCACAGCATCAGATATTGGTGGTATGTCTGCACAGAATGAACCTTCCCACCAATATTCCATTATGTTTTGTTGCTGTGTGACAGGTGGCAGCAGAGAGGAAGTCTGACATGGAAGCATGTATGAAGCAAAGGCGTGTTGTTGAAATCCTCCGTGCAGGAAAAATAGCACCTACTGACATTCAATGCTTATTGAATTAAATTAGCCATTTTTAAAAACGTATCCATCTTGAGGACTGTCCTGAACAAGAATAGAAAATAAGAGAAAGCAAACAAAAATATAAATTACTCTTATTTCTGCTTTCCTTTCTTCCTTCGCTTCACTTAACAACAGGTAGCCTTCCTCGCAAAGCCCTTTTTCCTTCCCACTCTGTTGCCTCTAAATTGCATCTTCGTGCTAGCTTTATTAAAAAAAAAAAAAAAAAAAAAAAAAAAAAAAACCTTCTACATGGAACCTGATTTTAATTTAAAATTAAGAAGTTCCCATTCATTTATTTCAACAAAAAATGTCCCGCTCTTTTGAATATTAGTTTTTAAGTGTTTTCAGTTCATTCTAGCTTTTACAGATTAATCAGTTTTTAGATGTATTGTGCTTCTGCCTCCAAATTGATTCATTTTAGTGTAAAAAGTCTGGTGTTTCTCAGGCTTAAGATTTTATTAATACAGAGAGGGGAAATCATTCCTAAGCTTACAAAGAAAAAGACCTAGTAGACAAAATATTTAACAGCTAGAGGAATTTTCTCTGACCATTGGAAACGGATGTGTTTTTTTTTGGTTTTTTTTTTCTGGCAAATGTGCTAAAAATGAGTTAAATACAAACTTGAATTAGGCTCTGTAATGAGCAGTGCTAATTATCCACTTGGATGGCCTTTTCATTTCTCTCCTGATTCTAAATGCACACTTGGGTCCCTTAATTCTTCTGCTCTGCTCTTTTTTTTTCCACAGTTTCTCTGAGCTGATAAGGGCTCATTGCATGTAAAGTCTGTGAAGACAGGTGAAGCTTTGCTTATTTGTTGTGTAAGGGCAGAGCCAAGTGATTAAGTGTCCTCTGAAAACCAAAAAGCCATGGAATTCTCACTGTCAGTTTCTGTGTTGGTACAAGACTGTAGGAAATAGGCTTCATAAAAGTGCTCTTTGCGACAGAAGCAGGAGTAGAAGTAAAGTGATGTGTAGGCTGGAAAAGTCAGAGGGATTAAGTGTTGTGGTTTAACTGTACAGTACCACACAGCTGTTTGCTCACTCTGTCCAGGTGGGATGAGGGAGAGAACTGGAAGGAAAATAGAACTCATGGGTTGACATAAAAACTAAGACAAAGTGGAAACAAAATTGTGATTATACCAATACATGTAAGTCCACAATGCAATTACTCGCCAACACTGACTGACACCCACCTAATGATAGGACTACTCACAGACTGAGGCTCTGCTATCAACACAAGGTCTCACCACCTCCACAGCCAACATCCAGCCAATCCCTAAGCAGTCCCTAACCACCTCTCCACAGCTTTATGGCCTTCTCATAATGTCATGTGGTATGGAATACCCTGGCCTAATTCAAACCAACTTCCTGGCTTTACCCCACACTCTGCTGCCATTCCATCATGGTGGTGGCTCTTCTTCTGAGCCTGGCCCAGCCATGGCTGTGCTCCCATCACTCAGCAACAACCAGAAAACACCAGTCTGCTGTGAACACTGTCTGAGCTGAAAACGGGACAAATGGTAACTGTGGGGAAAATTCCAGTATGTGAGGAAAATCTACAGTAAAGATCTTGTTTCTCAGATGTTAGCTTTGCAGCTGGTTAATCCCCGATCAAACACTTGCGACTAAGAGTTCTCCAGGCACGTTTGAAAGCCTCTGTGGGAGAATAGCAGAGACCTTCCACAGCGGAAGAGTATAGATCTAATATAAAACTAAATTGAGCTGCTTTATGCATTGGGGTGGTATAGATGCTATGCCGAAGCATGGAGGAAGAGTGAGTGCTCATAATGCTTTTTAGCTGC